TCCAATGCGTTCTTACTACTTGGATGTGCTTGGAAAACCTCTAACGGGAGGTGCCCAGGAGGCATCCTGATCAGATGCCCAAACTACCTCACCTCAACTGACACTTTTTGGCGCAAAGGAGCAGCAGCTCTACTCCGAGCTCCCTCCAGATGTCTGTGCTCTTCACCCTATCTCTAGGGCTGAGCCCAGCCACCCTATAGAGGACACTAATTTCAGCTGCTTGAATCCATGATCTCATTCTTTTGGTCATGACCCAAAGCTCATGACGATAGGTGAGGGTCAGAACGTAGATGGACTGGTAAATCAAGAGCTTTGCCTTAAGGCTCAGCTTCCTCTTCACCGCAACAATCTGTTGCAATGCACCTCTCACTGCTGATGCCACACCAAACCGTCTGTCCATCTCTTGCGCTCCATTTTACCTCCACTTGTGAACTAGACCCTAAGATTCTAGAACTCCTTCGCGTGGGGCCGTAACTCACTTCCAACCCAGAGGGGGTGATCCACCATTTTCCGGCAAAGAACCATGGCCTTAGACTTGGAAGTGCTCTTTTAATTCAGAATATCCAAACAAAACATGCTGTTTACATGACTTGAATCAGATTCAGAATACTGTCAATTTCTGAATAATCGAGGATTATTAGTGTATATGTAAACATAGTCATTGTTCAATGCTTGCTCAAAGCCCCCACCAATCAAGAACATGATTAGAAGTGTGTTCATAAGGCACTGTAATGCAATAATGTAACACAAAGAACTTTCCAAACAGGAGTGTAAACAGTTAAAATGCTCAAAGACAAAGGTTTTCCAGAGACTAAGCTGTAATTGCATACCAACCAGTTTTTTTTATGTTGGTGGTTGTTCGCCTTGATGTTGCGGTTCACCGTGACTGTTGTTGTTTACCGTTACACTCACACATTTACAGTATGCGAAGAGTTAAAACAGAAAGGGGATTGAAGGGGGGAGGAAAGGGCAGAGAGAGAAAGAGCAAAAACAGACCAGAGATACTTGTGGTGAGAGGAGGAGTGGTTTGAGACTGAAGCCTCATAAAAAGAACAATTTTGCAGTGGGTGAGGAAATAAGAGAGAGGGAGGAGAGGGAGGGAGGCAGCTCACAGAAGGATTTTTTGGATAGAAATGTGCGGAGGGAAAAATATCCCCAGCCCTGTAAAATAATTTCTGTTTTACTACCCTTCTCTCACCTCTCTCTTCCTTTTCTCTCCTTCTTTCACTCAATTTTTCATCACGTTTTTGCAATTAATTTCAGGGAGACAGAGCCAGGTCAGGGCGGAGACTTTTTTTTTTTTTTAATGAACTTTAACACACACACACACACACACACACACAAACATTACAGTACACACACATGTAGCTGGGCTTGGCCGAGAGGCTCAGATGTTTCAGGAACACCAGATGCTCGGTTGGAACGCGCTTCTCCTGAAAAATGTGACCGTTCCATCATTTTTTCCGACTGGTTCCTTGACACATGACTGCTGGCTCCACGTCCAAAACAACCAGCGGTGGTGTAACTGTATCCAGACTGCTCCATCTGTGGCCCTCCAGCAGCCCATGGCCATAGCTACAAATCACTTTGTCTTTGTTTCCTACCATTTGTTTTTGTACAGCCCTGCATTGCTTATTCTTTACTGATTAATATCTACAAATAGGTCACCCTTTGGATTTGGTTGTACACAGTGCAGGTGATGGCCAAAGTGCTGACATAAAAAGATTAATATAGGTTGATCTTTTAGATTAATGCACTTTATTTATATAAATGAAACTTTTTTTTTTTAAACAAATTAGATGACCACAACAATCAAATCTGTCACTGATTAACATTACAGTCCCACACACTGGAAAAAGGAGGAGGACTCCTAAATGAAAAAAAAAAAATGGCAGATGTTGATCTGACGACAGCTCAGGCTGAAACTGAGTGAACTGGAATGATGTAATCCTCCCAAACAAACTATGTCCTCCAAACACTTTTGAATCAGTTTGGCAAGAAATGGCAGCGACACGCCTACAAATTGTGAGATTTTATATGTATGTTTAAAAAATGGTTATGCTTTCAAAGCTTCAACTCAGTATGACGTCAGTTGGCGACAATTTTGCATCACAAACATGGCAGAGGTGGAGCCAAGTCATTGTTTTGCAAGTCACAAGTACGTCTTAAGTCTTTGAACTCAAGTACTGCATCAAGTAGTGATTCATAGGGTTACTTCGTAATACTTCAAATAAAGTCATCTTAAAGTGTCTTTGAGTACCGAGAAGAACACTCTATAAATACAATGTATTATTGCTACATTAATGTGTTTTAGTGAGTCGACAACTTATTTTAAGAAGTTCGTCAAAATCAAAAACAATCTTGACATTTTTGAGAAGGATGGAAGTAAAACAAGTAAGTCAGACTGTCTTAAATAAAATTATTTGACCATTAAATATCACCACAACTTTTGGATAAACATTAAATTGGTTCAACTTAATTAAACTTTTTGATGTCAAAGCAAATCATGTTGGTTGTACTAAAATAACTGAGTTTGTCAGATTATAGCAGACTCATTGAATTGACTCAGTAATGCCAGATTTGGAACCTACTTGCATGCCTACATTTTTTAAAGTTGAACCAGTGGATGTTTAATAGAGTACACTCTAAAAATGATAATGGAATTAGTGGATAAAACTTAAAATAAAGATGTTTTTCAGCATTAAAAAAAAACCCAATTACATTTGTTTTATTTACGTGTTTTATTCAGTTGACTTTTTTTTTTAAAGAGTGGGTCAAAATCAAAAACAATCTTGACATTTTTGAGTAGGATAAAATTAAAATGAATATCAACACAGCTTTTGGATAAATATTAAGTTGATTCAACTTAATTAGGTTTTTCGAGGTCAAAGCAAATAATGTTGGTTGTACTGCACTAATTGAGTTTGTCAGATTATAAAAGACTCATAGGACTGACTCAATAATGCCAGAGGTGGAACTACTTAAAAAGATGCATGCATTTTATATTATAATACTTATAGTCTGTAGGCAAACCCTGGCGGAGATCTTGCCTCCGGAAGAAGAGCGGAAGAACCCCGGTTTCCGGTTGTAGGCTGTTTGTAGTCCGCGTAATATTAACCAATCACATTTGAGCCGACTGCAGTTGTTGCCAGGTTAAACGCTCCCTGTGGTGAACTAACGAGGCGGAACATAATTGGCGTCACTGCAAACTCTGAATCCATCACAATGGTTCTACATATTTACTTATATATAAACGGAAGTCGGAAACGGAAATTCACCTCCTCCGCCCAGATCAAACCGGAATGCCAAAAAATCGGGGGTCTGCCCCCAGAGGCTGTATCGCTGTCTGCTGGAAGTCAGATGCTGAATACAGCCGATGGGTTCCGAGAATGTAATACTTGTACCATTGAAAATATAATATATATTAATTGTATAAAATTATATATTAGAGAGAGAGAGATGTATTAGATTTACAACTAGAATTACTGCCTGGCATTGAATAATGGTCAAAAAGGTGTTTTTGCCTAAAATGATGATGTCATAGTGACCTTGACCTTTTGGATATAAAATGTCATCACCTCATCATTTTATCCTGTCAGACATTTGTGTGAAATTTTGTCATAATTACCATATGAATTCCTGAGTTTTGAAAAAAACATGTTTTGTCCGATCACAGAGACCTTTGGCCAGCAAAATTGTCTCATTTGATTGTTGAGTCCAAGTGGACATTTGTGCCAAATTTGAGGAAGTTCCCTCAAGGCCTTCTTGAGAATGGGACGGATTGACGGACACTGGTGTTGGTGACAGCTGTTGTTTGTGCAGAGGCATGAAGATCCTGAATGCTTTATAAAATGTTTCACTTATTTGCTGAAAAAGGTTTGTTGTAAGTCGTTGCGTCTTCGTCTGTAATTTTTGATCCGCACGTTTTGCATATAACAGTTTTTTGTTGATCACCTGTAGGGTTTGTACACGAACAAATTATCTTTGATTGCATTTTTACAACTGGCGCTGCGTAGCATAACTGCAGTTCTTCAGTGTTTTCTCCTGCATCCTGGTGCTGTCTGATTGGTTCAAGCAAAGTGGGTGTGGTGAACTAGGTGTCGACTTGATTGGAATGAATAGCATTAACGTTAGTTGATTCAGGAAATAAAGGGAAGTGAATTGATTCGTGGCTCACTTTTTAAATACCTTACTTTTAAATATTTTGGGTTGGGGGAAGGTATCAAGTATTTTCAAGTCAAAAGGCTCAAGTCCAAGTGAAGTCATGAGCCATTGATGTTAAAGCTGAGGTCGAGTTGCAAGTCCTTTTTTTTGTTTTTGTCAAGTCGAGTCTTAAATCATAAAATTCTGACTTGAGTCTGCACCTCTGCAAAAACGGTACAAATGTATTTCTGAGTACTACCTGTCAAAGTTGTACATTATGAAGATTACAACATAGTGTATATTTTAAAGATTTAGCATGTAGCACTGAGTAGGGACACTGTCTTGATAAAAACCACTCAAGCAGACTGTTTGCCAAAATGAAGGCCTGAATTTATGAAACAAGACTAAAAGCAAAACACTTCTATCTCCAAAACATCAACTTTTCCACAACGAATTTAACAGACGTTTCCAGTTTGGTCACGGTGTATTTCCTGAGTTTGACAGTGAGGTTTTAAGAGGCATTCAAAGCACGAAGGATGGTGATTCACTTAATTCTTCCTCAACTGGTATGAAGCAAGTTAACAAAACTTAAGTTGCATTTGCATTTTTTTTCATTATATCATAAAAAATGAGTTAATCAAACAGAATTTCCTTCAGAATAGTTTTATGAAGGACTCAGGGTTGCATTTAACATTGTGCTTTTCTGTCTGTGTCCATGTGTGTGTGTGTGTGTGTGTCAAGTTACTGGTGAGGTGAATATGAAAGCATGGAAGAAATGTATTCCAAGATTGTAGAAAATAGTTTAATTTCACTTTATCTAATGAAATACAAAAGTGAAAACAGGCAGGAAAAAAAAATCTCATTCCATTTTATTGATATGATCATCATTATAAATATCATTACCATTATCATTGTTATTAATTAAATGAATTCACCTTCAATTTTGATTTGTGTAAAAAAAATAAAAAAAAAAATCAATGAGCACCATCAAAGTTCATAAATAGCATTGCTTGTTATTCTGTGCCAACATTTCTGTAATTTCGGGCATTTCAGAGTAAAAAAATGAAACTCCCTGAAGTCACATTAACTCCCCTGATCTGATCTAATTCGTCACATGCTGCTGAGTGTAAACTGGGATTCATTTCCATCATTGTCACGTTATGCCTCTGTCCAGCAGGACTCCAAATGACAATGTACAAAAGACAAAAAAAAAAAAAAAGTCATAACTTTACCAGGAGAACAATAATAACAATAACCATACTTATAATAACAACAATTTCCCATAAAAACGATAATAATTAAATTGCACCATATTGCTGGAAACTGTGCCGCTTACGTTTGGACAAGCAGCTCTGCTCCTATTCGACAAAAAATGTACTGGAATGTTTGAAAACTGTCATCCGTGAGTCATGTTTTAAGAAGTATTTTTCCCGTCTGACTGCTTGCACTGAGAGAAGAGTTTTGCCTGTGAATCAAGTTGAAGTTAAAACATTAAAAAGGATTTTTGTACCATCTTTGCTTTTAGTTGCCTTGTCAAGACTACAGCTCAACCATCAAAAGAAAATCCCCCCAGCAGCCTCATTAAAGTCTGACTTTTGTGGACTTAATCCTGGATAAACAAATACTAATCATAAACCCCATCTGTGTCTGCATAAATCAATACTAACACTGTGCATTAGGGACGTGCTGTACTCAGCTCCAGGTGATCGTAACTAAAACTAAAAATGGTCGTCTTTAGCGTTAAGCAGATGGAAGAGAATCCTCGTTGTAGTGCATTGTACGTTTCTGCAAACCACAGATATGTGACATTCGTACATTATGTCCAAACATCGAACCTGTGGTTAACATGCCGTTATGTTGAGGCACAAAAACCAAAGATCATGTTTTGGCTTAAAATAGCCAGTGTTGGGGGCACAATTACAGCTGGAAATGCCCAGATGTCTTAAAACACCCAAAAAACAACTGCTTTTGTTCTACTGGTCTCCAAAAGTGGTCTACAGCTTGGCAGCCGTCTCGCCTTGGTGACACGCCATCCACCATCCCCTCCACCTCCTGATGAGAAAGTCAGCTCATATTCATGTAATAATAACTATGTCACTTTGGGGATGTGATTCATGTGAGATGTACAATCCATGGTTTGTAGAAATGTACAATGCCAACATTTTATTATGGCGACTGGGCTGCGTAGTAGGGCTAGGTATCATTAAAAATGTTCTTAACTAGTAAGGATATGATGTTTTTTTCTGAACCTTACTTTGAGTAATATGACATTTTTTTCCACTAACGAGACGCCAAAGTTCTCAAACATCGACAGCAACAGTACAAGAACTTTGCCTTTACAAAATAGTAAAAAATTTGGCAAAATTTTGTCTTAAATCTGGAACTACTTGATTATAGAAAAAGGAAATGAATCTTACGAAAAATTATCACGTATATGAGGTCAGACGTTCAGTACCAACTTGACAGTTTTTGATACTATGTGCAATAGACACATTTCAGGCAGTATGTCTTAGATTTAGATTTTGCCTTTACATTTTTAAAGGGTGCCTGAGACCTAACCTGGCTGTCACTGGATGTCAATATGACTTTAGAAAGACGCTGGACTCTTACATCAGTTACGTTGTTAAATTTTGGTAGCATTGAAAATTAGATTGATGATTTCTTAAATGTCTAATGACGATGGGTCATGTTCTCCATACCATATGATTAAATGTCATAATTCTTTGTCAAGATGATGGCACAAGACGTTTAGAAGACATTGGATTTCGGTTACTTAACACAACTTTTCATCTATTGTCAGTACTCAACGTCACATTGACACTGTACTGGACGTCAATATGATGCCAGAAAGACGTTGGACTCTTACGTCAGTTACGTCGTTAAATTTTGGTTGCATTGAAAATTAGGTTGATGATTTCATAAATGTCGTCAAGAAGATGTTTAGAAGACATTGGATTTTGGTCACTTTACAACAACTTTTCATCTGTCATCAGTATTCTACGTCAAATTGACACTGGCATTAGATGTTGTTCTGACATGGAATATTGGTCGCCCAATGTCACAACCTAAATTCAACCAACTGGCCAGTTGGGAAGATTTTTAGTGCAACCGTCTGCTTCACTGTAATTTTTCTGTACATGATTAGAATAAAGGAACTTGAACTAATGATGTAAAAGGTTCGATACCCAGCCCTTCTTAGTGGTGGAGAAAAAAATCCAACAAATACAGGAAATACTGCACAGCCGAAAATCAAAACTTTGCCAAAACAAAGGATTCAAGAGCAAAATGTCATGAATTTCAAAGTAAAACTCCCCCAAAAACCCCAAAGCTCTCAACAGAGATGATGAATTTCTGAGTAAAAGCCAAAGTGAAACACAGATGTCAAACTTATGAATGAATCAGACAGCAGTTCAGCTGGAGTCGTCCAGTTAAAGGAGAGGAAGGAAGGAGGGATGTTTGTTTCTTATACCTGGGATGTGAGAGAGGAGAGGCGGGAGGGAAGTCGTTGATGAGTCTCTTTGTAATTTTCCCTTCTCTATGGGAGACTTTGGGTATGTTGTAAATCTCTGAACACAGAACAGTACATGTAAATAGTTAACATACAAATACACATTTTCCTGATTTCAGTTTCTAGGGCCTTTTTTCTCTTTTTCGTGGCACATACAAACCACCCAACATTTAATGCATCGTCCCCCTCCTACCCCCCGTATCTTCTGTCTTTTCTCCAGTTGCTCTCTCCTCCACTTCCACATCTTCCTCCGCTCGGTTTCCATCTTCTCCCGGCCCTCGTTCTCTCCTCCTCTCTTTCTGTCCCTCTGTGGCAGTCTGTCAATCACGCCGTCGCTCTGCCTCTACACCTTGTCCAGGAGGGATCTCTGGCAGTAGAGGAGGCGTCGAGGCGTGCCATACTTCCTGAAGAACAAAAGCGCTCCCAGAGTGACCACAACCAGCACCAGCAGGAGGAGAGGGATCACCACGGCTGCCGGCCCGGCCCCGCTCTGTGATTCGTCCACCTCGATGATGATCACCTCTTCTTCCCGACCCTTCTTGGGCTCATCGCTTTCACAGCCCATCCAGTCACTGAGCACAGACTTGGGGTAGCCGGACTCCACCTTCATGTACTGGTTGTTGAACTTCCAGTACTTGTTGGCTTTGTAGAAGTAAGTGTAAGCTGAGGAAAGAGGAGAGAAAGAGTTTTTCAGGTTTTGAGGGTTGCTTTGGGCTAATCACCTGTCCTTAGCTTTGCTGCTAATTTATTCTGAAGTAAACTCACAGATCATCTGCATAAAAAATTGGCACCTAAGGACTGGACAAAGGGAGACAGAGATCCACCTGGGTACATGAGACCCTCAGAAAGAGGAGATATCACATGGAGTGCCACCGGCTGGTCCAGGAGCTTCACCTGGGTGATTGTTGGTTCAAGGCTTACTTTAGGAGGAGTCAAGGATAGTTTGAAAATCTGCTGTCAGTCGTCAGGCTGAATTATGAGCCTGGTCTTACTCCTGAGTCATCGAAATCCGGCACTTGGGCAGTGACTTGTGGCGTCAGACACTGATTAAAGAAGACGTCCGTCAATGACGGCATGATACACAGCCGGTCGCTGTTATAGTTTAATGGTGCTTGGTGGTGTCAGGGGGAAACACGGTGGGACAAGAACAAAAGTTAAGACGGTGAAAGTCTGAGAAGGGCGGGTGGGAGTGGTGATGGATTGGTCCAACTAACACCAACTTTCTTACTTGTATCTGGACGTGGAAAGTCCATGACCAAACGTCGATATGTGACAAGGTCAGAGTGAGAAAGTGTTGGAATTACGGTTACATTAAGATATTAGAAAGTAGCTGAGGCTAGAATTTGTTGTTGTTCAGATAACGTTGAAAATGAGCGAACATTAGCGCAAACAAACCATGCCTACCACTTCTTCACCACCACAGAACGCCTGTCTCTAAATTCATCTGATTGGACAATGTGAAAAAACACCAATGAGTTGAATTTTTCATCTCAAGGTGTTAAGGGCCCTTCTGCAGAATTGCGAGGCCCATATCGCAAAAAGTCAAGGTGCTCAACAGCGCAAGCAACAGCAGCGAACAAAACCCTTCACTTTTATTAAAACAATTACAAAACTCTCTGTCTGATTGGGGCCTTCTTCATTATATTCACATTACTTATGATTATTGATCAAAGTCTCACTGTGTAAATATTTACTTAAAGCCCCAGTAGTCAACCCTACAATATCGTTGCAATATCGTTGTCGACGAATTTAGTAAAAAATATTGTAATGTTTGATTTTTTTTCCATATTGCCCAGGCCTACTGCCCCAAATCTTCTCAGTTAACTGATTGAATGTTTGGTTTACAAATTGTCAAAAAATGCCTCACACAATTTCCTAAAGCCCAAAAACGACATCTTAAAAATGTTTGTTTTGTCTGACCAAGGACTGGTCAGACAAAGTTCAAACCTCAAATACATTCAGTTTATCATTACGTAAGATAAATAACAGCAACTAATGTTAACATTTAAGAAGCTGTAACTAAGAAATGTTTGACTTCTTTCCTTGATCATGACTGATTGATTGTCAGAGAAGTTGCCAAGTAATTTTCTCCCCATTGACTGTTTATCATTTCATCCGTAACTGTCTTGGAATAAAGACTTGAGGTCTAACACTTACATCCATCTTCACTCATGATGGTAGCTTTGATGTTGTCTGGTGCACCACTCCACATGCTGATGGGCTTTGGATAGCCATTGTCCACGGTGCGAGTCTGCTCGTTGAAACGGTAGTACCTGCAAATGACACCAAGACACACAACTATTAAAGCTCTACAATACAGAAAAATATCTTCTAAAAGAACATTTTTGGGTGATTCATTTGTACAACAGAGGCTGCAGGGGAACACAATGGTTCATGTCTTCAGTGTTGTTTTTGGGAATGTGAGGGTTTTCTACAGTTACACAAAATTACACATGGTAGTATTTAGGCTTGATTCTGACATTTTTAAATTTAGAGAAAAAGAAATACAAATCAAGGGCTTTACTATTTGCCTTCTTTTTCAGATATGTAGTGGTATGCTGGACCAGAATTAAAGACAAGAAGAAAAAATGAAGAAAAAAATGTGAGTCAGAGAACTGAACTTTGGGGTGCTTTCTTCGTAACATGTTAAGATAAGATAGCATATCAAAAGTACAAGTGCTAACAGGTTACTACATATGTACCATAAGCATGAGTCGTCTTTGTTGGGCGAAAGGGAAAGAGATTCAATCTCTGCATGAGTACTGCAGGAATGCCCCCATACTGTTTCATAATATCAGTGTAAGAGGACAACAAAGAAGTACACTCAGTCATTGGTCCTTTGAAATGAGGACCAAATTACAGTGGCTGAACATGCTCCAGCGGTCCAAGATGAACATGCTGCAGCTTCAGAAACAATGCCAACTCAAGAACACATAATCCAAAATAAATACAACAACGGAAACATGCTGCAAATAAAAAATGTAGAAGAAAGCCAAAACAAATTAACAGCAAACACATTGCAAATACAGAAACGATGCCAAGTCAGAAACACATAAACCCTGAAAATAAATGCAACAGTAAGGCGCTGCATATTCAGTCGCCTCTACGGAAGTTCTCTGGGCCTTTAAGGGGATATGCAGCATTTTTCTGTTGCATTTCTTTTTGGGGTTTGAGTTTGAATGGTTTCTGCACATTTTTGTTTGTTTTCAGCACATTTCTGTTGCAGTTTGTAGCTGAGTGTGAAGCGAGTGGGATGAGAGTCAGCACCTCCAAGTCTGAGGCCATGGTTCTCTGCCAAAGAACGGTGGATTCCTCCCTCCAGGTTGGGAGTGAGTTGCTGCCCCAGGCGGGGGAGTTCAAGTATCTCAGGGTCTTGTTCACAAGTGAGGGTGGAATGGAGTGTGAGATAGATGTGGTTTGGCGCAGCATCTGCAGTGATGCGGGCGCTGTGCCAGACCATTGCGGTGGAGAGGGTGCTGAGCAGGAAGGTGAAGCTTTCGATTTACTGGTCCATCTACAGCAACCCTCACCTATGGTCATGAGCTTTGGGTAATGACCTGAAAGAATGAGGTCGTGGATACAAGCAGCCAAAATGAGTTTCTTACAAAGGGTGCCATAGAGATAGGGTAAGGAGCTCAGACATTCAGAGAGAGGTCGGACTAGAGCCACTGCTCTGTTGCTTCAAAGGGGTCTGCCGAGGTGGTTTGGGGATCGGATCAGGATGCCTCCTAGGTACCTCCCGTTAGAGGTGATTCGGGACCATCCCACTGGTAGGAGGCCCCGGGGCAGACCCAGAACATGCTGGAGGGAGTACATATCTTGTCTGGCCTGAGAATGCCTGGAGGAGCTGGAAAGCGTTACTGGGGAGAGGAATGTCTGGAATACTCTGCTTAGCCTGCTTCCCCTGTGACCTGGCTTCGGATAAGTGGTTGAAAATGGATTGATAGGTGGACGTTTCTGTTGTTGTTTTTGTTTTTGATTTTCATATGTGTTTTTAAATCGGCAGAATTTCTGAAGCTGCAGCACATTTCTTCGAATGGAAATGTTTTGGGCTTTTGTAGTGCATTTGCACTTGTTGGCCACCATACCAAATTGGAGGAATAACTTGTTTCACTTCTCTTCAAATGCAAAAGGCTTGGAACGACATAGTAAAATCGATTTAACAGATCAGATTACACATATAACAAGATCACCATACTTTTAAGATGTGTGTGGTGAACCCTGAATAGAGGACAGACTCACTTAGTGCCTCTGAAGAAGTACGTCTGTCCTGTCGGTGTGTAGAAGAGAGCAGCATCGATCTTGTCTTTGGGTAGACCGGTGCCAAGATCTTTCAGGCTCTTGGGGGAGTCCTTGTCCATGGTAGACTCACTGAAAACCCAGTATCTATCACCTGGTAACATGTGAAAGAAAAACAGGATGATGACCAAAAGGGAGTCAGAGAACAGAAACAGGAATGAAAGGAAACCAGTCATGAGAGTCAACACATGAAATTCATCACGGGCGCAGCTGCAGTGACTTAATCATCCTAAACCTGGTTCTAATATAAACTCAGACTGGACCTACCCTTGAAGAAGATGAATTTCCCATCATCCCTCTCATAGGCGGCATTGATGTTTGAGGGCAGGCCTTTCCAGAAGTGACTGATTGTCATTGGGTAACCTTGCAACACCTTGTTGTTACGCACACGCCAGAACCACTTGTCCTGCAAACACACATGAACACACAGATTAGAAATACAGAAAAATATGTTCCAACATTTTTACTTAATGCATGTTAGTGGGACAAGATCTATAATTATGTCTCTAAGAACATTTGAATGTTTGAGATAAAAAAAAAAGGGTCACCTGTACCTTAAATACAAACTTCTCCCCTCTGAGGACAGCGATGGTGTCAAAGTGTCCTTCACAGATGTCTGGGCCAATGTCAGGGTACGATGGCTTTGTGGGTCGAGGGCGAGGAGGGGGAGGAGGAGGAGCCCCAGACTTGGATCCTATAGGGAAAAGTTGTTTTGAGAAAGAGATTGTGAAATGGTTAATAATTTATTTCAACATACGTATGTACCAAAACTAGATCGGTCTATCACTTTGGTCCAGACTGAAATATCTCAGCAACCACTACTTTGGTCATCTTCCTTTTGTGCTCATTTCTAGGTTCATACTTGTATTTTAGGTTTCTACTAGAACACGTTTACATGCTTTAATGGTCAAAAAACACTTTATTTTTCTCATACTGTTTGTGCTGGACACCTGTAATCACCCTCTGTCTGAAACGCTCTGTTTTAGCGCCGGTCTCTTTAAGCACCCCCTCCCAAAAAAGCTGTTTCTGGCTCTTCTGTATCTTAATGTCCCTGCATTATCTTCGTAGCTGGGGAATGACAATATGAGAATAGCAGCTCTCTCTGCCATGAAGATCACTAATAAAAGTTACAAATCACACCTGGACATGTTCCAGCAGGACGTTAGCATGCAGCTACGTGTACGTTAGCAGTGTACTTGGGGCCGGGGAATGACTGTACTGCAGTATAATTGCATTTTCTACATCTTCTAGACCAAACTATTCACAACTGGACATGTTGCAAATGGAATATAATTTGAAGTCATGGAGAAATTAACAACATCTGCTACTAAGATTACATGTTTCTCTGACGTTAGCATACATGTAGCAGTGTACTTGTAGCCGAGGAATGACTGTAACAGCGTATGGCGACATTTTCTACAGTGAAAAATCGCCAATAAAAGCTTCTAAATCAAAATCCTCACAACTTGACATGTTCCAGTCGGAATATGATCAGAAATCAAGGCAGCCAAGATGTCATTTCTGACGTTAGCATGTCGCTACTTGTAGCAGTGTTTGTAGTGAAAACACTTGTGGTAGCGTGCCTGGATCAGATGATCGCATAAAGAAATCTGTCAGCTTGTAGTTAAAGTAGAAAAAAAGTTGGAAACCTTAAGTTTTTGCTCACAGGTATTACTTTAACATATATTTACCTTGTTAAACTTTGGTAAGGTTTAACACAAACATCCGACGTTGTAACGGACAGAAATTAAGGAAGAGTATAATAGGCCCCTTCAAACCTGAGAAACATCAGCATGTTATCATTTAGTTAAAAGTTTTGCTGTGACTTTGGTCTGGTCCACAAGTTCATATTTATGTAATATTTCATCGCAGTGACAGTATGTGAATGTTCTGTGTAGATTTATGCTCCTTGAGGAGAACAGTTGTGGGTTAAAGTTTGTATAAGAGGAACATCACAGCAAATAAATCCAATAAATTCCCAGTTCCTTTAGGAGAAGTCCCCACCATAGATTGCCTGGATGCCTCTGCGGTCGTCGTCTGGGAGCTGGAAGTTTTCTGTTTCAAACCACTGGTAGAAGGGGGCCATGATGGCGGAGGGGTCGTTGGAGTGCTCCAGACCCAGAGCATGACCCAGCTCGTGCACAGCCACCAGGAAGACATCATTACCTTCAGACAGAGAGATGAATATAATTTAGTTTGCTTTCATTTCTTCCAGGATCTACAAGTCACCGTCCGCTCTTCTCTCTCTTACCCCCCTGGTCGGTGTTCCCGGTGGTCCAGGGCTCAGCGAGGTCAAAGTGAGTGTCTCCTCCGATGCCGTGTCCAGGGAAGTAAGCGTGAGCCAGGAAGCCGCCCTCGCCGTCAAACGGTGTGCTGTCGCCGTGGAAACCATCCGCGAACGAGAGCATGATGTCCGCGAACTTGTCGGTCTTGCCTCTGATCTGGCTGTAGGGGATCTCTCTGAAGGTGAGCGGGATCACACTCTCCCACACTTGAAAGGCTTTTCGGATGGCGTCATACGTGGCTCGCTCTCCAATCTTTGGGGTGTAGTTCTGTATGCTGTTCAAGAGAACATAGAGACAGGGGTTGAGGCCTGACACAAAATTATACAGCAGAGAAGTAAGAAACTAAGTAAGCGTGTAAAACAAAACAAAAGTTTTTCTCATCCTTTTTGCATTTTTTGGATATTTTGTGGACAAATCATCACATCCTCTTACGCCGAGGGGGAAACAAAGCATTCACTACCATCCTAAAGCGTCGCTATGTGGCTTTCAGCACATCAAATAAACTTAAAAATCCAGAGTTAAAGGGTATTTTCCAACCTGGACTCTATTTTCACATGTTTTTGTGTTTAAGTGACTAATGGGAACAACATTTTTTGAAAATTGGTTCAGTATTGAGCGAGAGCAGCAGCCAGACTGTGACGATAGCACTCAGGGCATGTCTGCACCGTCAATGTACGTCCACTAGAAGTGCTTGTTTTTGCCACTGACAGACGCAGACTGTTACCTGAGTGTCTCACAACATTATCGTAAGGTTCCCTACAGAGATAGACCTTTTTGTTAAAGAGTAAGATCCTTTTTGTTCAACCAGAACTCTGATTTAGTTGAAATAAACCTTTAATTCACATAGATAAATGTGAAAATATGCTGGCTCTATAAACACTAAAATTACTTTTTATTTAAATACATAATAAATTAATTATGAAGGTTATTAGTTGTGTATAATAAATCACATTCACAAAAGTATTGAATAGCATGAGTGTTTACCTGAAGGTGACCTCAGACTTGTCCCACTTCAGACCCTGCACAGCGTATCTCTTCCTCCTCAGGTTGGTTTTCAGCTCCGGGCCGAACTTATCTGGGACGCCACACCTCGGCCGGCTCATCGCCCTGGCAACAGCAAAATAAATTTCCAGTTCTTAACTATGTAAAACATTCAAACTCCACTGAAGGACACATTTTCTTGTAAATAATAACCTTGCTTTCTCGGAAACCAGGCAGTTATGTGAGATTAAAAAAAGTTTTCTGTCGATCAGGACTCACTCTATCGTGTTGGAGTCGATGGAGCCGGTGACAGTCAAACCGTAAAACCTCTGCATGGCTGATATTGCTGATTCGATGGACTTTGGTGAGCGGATGGCCTGGGCTCTGACGTCACCTGGAGGCAGGTAGCCATACTGCTGCAGCCAAGCCTGCAAGAGGGAGAAGATAATCAATGTCCATGTGTTCAAACATTGATTGAAACTTAGTTTGTGTGGACAATTATTTCATTATCTGTTAACTTTAATGTCATGACGATGATCACGTCATCTTTACACCTTAAAAAAGTTAATCTTTGTCAATTTGAGTGTTTTAGCATGATAAACTCTACATGCTCTCAGTTGAGTCTTACATTTCTACTCAGGGAAACGCTTCTGTTAAACTTTGTTTATCCCAAAATAAACCTTCTAGACCAAGTCATCGATCATCAGTGTTGCCAGATGGGAAATGTCAAACACTTGTACCAGAGGCTTAAAATTATCCTGTTTGAGGAAAATGATCATACAAGAACAAACAGGCAGAAAGGTAAAGGTGTAATTTTATAAAACACATATTCAAATAAGTTTTTGACACACCAACAAATCTACCCACATCATTTTTTTAAAGCAAGCTAATGCGTGTATGAGTGTATGAGTCCATCAGTTTGTAATAACCTAATATTACAAAACTGAATTACAACACAGCATGACTAGAAGTCTGTTAACATTCTGCATCAAAACAATTAAGGCCATAAGCTAAGCTAATTAAATAAATAAATAACTGGGCTAAAACACAACAGCCGTGCTCATGAGTCATGTTCATCATACAACAAGCATGACTGGCTGGAAAAAGGTCATGTGAGATGAGATGTGTGAACACAGATGTCAGATATGTTGCATTTTATGTCAGAAAATGAATTAAAACAAAACAGCACAGACTAAAATTAACTACTAATTGTTGCGTCACAAAATGGTCACATTATTGTACATTGTGGCACTTTTGGCATTATTAATTGTACTGCGCACAGAGAGCAAAATTGTCGCAAAAATACGAAAATGATTGCTACTACTAAGCGAAAGATATGTCAAAAGAATTACTAAATATATTCTATTAAATTGGGATAGTTCCAGGATTTTACGACTACAAACTACATAACGGTCCTTATGATATCATACAATAACGCACATACAACAGTTCATAGGATAGCCATCGAATTAGCTCCCCACGAATGACGTAGGAAGTGTAGGAAAGTCTTGTGTTGTTAAACCCATCCACCACCCAAACTGGCCTCATTACACAGACTTTCGGTCTTCACACTACTTTTTTTACGACACATGATTGCAGCCTTCCAGATTCCCGAACAATTACTGGCTCATTATTATGTTATATGAATATATATGAATTGTGGTGCATTTTCTATTTCAATGGAATTCAATTTATTTGTTGCATGAAGTCATAAATATGATTCCAGTGAGATTTCCGTAGGTATAATGACGAATGACTTCCTGATGGCATACTATGGCATCCTGTATCGTTACATTGTATTCTGTTTTAATTAAAAGAAACATGAGCATCTCAAACAGCTTCAACAATTGTATAACCTCATGATGAATATTAACATTATGAGATCCTAAAGCTGAAAGTTGTAGAAAAATATCAAATATGTAGGATCTTATACATGAATGTTCTTTTAAAAAAGAGTTGATCCACTTCAAACTACTCAAATACACATTTATAATATAACTTATGATTCTGAACCTCCAAACTTGTAATGCTTTACTTATTTAATTTGACTTTTTTTTGACATTCATGGATTAATTGATAGATTTTATTAGTACAAAAAAAGGTGGTGAGATAGCTGCCTTAAAAACACAACTGTAGTCTTTCTAATGTCAAGATTCAAGTGGCAAAATCCAAATCTTTGGACACTCAAACCCTAAAAACCAGGCAGTTATTAGGAGTTTTGCAACACAGAAAAATCTGCTTGTTTCTGTTTTACTTTCTTTGTGAGTTTCTCAGTCAGCTCGAAGTCAAACGTGCCAGAAACAACACAAAAACCACGTGAAAACATCTTAGTCAACATAAAAGAAGGGATTGGCCTCTTGTATGAGCCTGTGTGTTTGTGCTTCCAGTCACCCTTCAGAGCTTGTTTGGACCTGCTTCAGCTCAGAAGCATCACACACAGATTGCATTGTGAATAAGGGAGACAAAGTGTGTGTGTTTGGGGTTTTTGTACGACTTGTTAAGCTCTCTCCTCTGCAGCAGCCAACACACATTGAAGTAACTCAGCATGTTAAATTTACTGTCGTTCCGTCACATGACTGTGACATTATCCCGTTTATGAACTCTTAAAACCCAACACCAAATCCTTGCATGCCCCCTTTGATTTATGCTGAACTCGTTAGGGGGAACTTTGTTGTGGGGTCATAAGCAGGGACGAAAGAGGAACCGAAAGCCAAATAAAACACACAATCTAAAAGCACTGATGTCATTTCAGTCACGATGACCCAGAAGTCTGTCTAGACTATCACAGCCAAAGACAACTGGTGGTCATGACGCTGGAAAAAGCAACATTTTCAGAAACATTTGGGCTCCTCAAAGCTTGAGTTTAAGATCTCCCTGCCACTGTCTACGTCTGTCCTCCTCCTCTCTCTGTCTGCCTTCATGTCAACCAAAACCACCACTATTTATCTTTACACATGAAAGGACAGCCTATTCTTTCCACTGCCTGCTGCTGGTGGTCTAAGACTTAAAAGAATAGTTCAAGAATGTTGGGAATAGTCGCTTTCTTGCCAAAAGTCAGATGTGAAGAGTCCACTGTTAAATGTGAAGCTGGAACTAGGACGTGGTTAGCTTAGCATAACGACTGGAAATGGGGGTGAAAAAGCTAGCCATGCTTTGTCTGAAGAGAAAAATCTGCTAATAGCAATTAACAATAAATGCTAAGATGCTGTATAAGTAGAGAAGTCATTTAGTCAATGAACTTAGTAAAATCCATTACACAACAACATCTTGTGGAGTTAAAATAAGCTAACATTAGCCAGCATAAGCTAACAGACCAAGTAATGCAGCTGTAAAAAATCCTGAGTTGAAGTGTGTGTGTTTCATTGATTAAAAATGTCTTATTTCCATTCTTTAGAGAACGCATGTGTTATTTCTTCAAAATTCAGTCAGTCTTGCTTTAAATCTCACTAATTAACATTTGCTAGGCTAACTTAGGTTGTGGGCTACGTTAGTTTAGGTTGTGGGCTACGTTAGCTTAGGCTGTATATTTAAAGGAGCTCTAATAATTAGAGCATATCCATGATTCAAAGTCTGTGGCGGGATAGTCTACACAGGTTCTCAGCATGGAGGTGGCTGAGGCAGCAGCCAGCTAACAGTGCTAACTCAGTAAACAGTGCTAACAACAGCAACACTGCTGACAGAGCTAACATTGTTAACTTGAGGGGGAGGCAGCGGGTGGGTGTTGGGCTTGGCCGGTATCACATTATTACGGTTTACTAGGGTATTTAGAAATCCTGTTGGTATGATTTTCAATACCGTCAAAGATACAGACGCTAATAATTCTTTTAAAGGCAAAGCAAGGCAAGGCAATTTTATTTATATAGCACCATTCATACACAAGGCAATTCAATGTGCTTTACAAGAGAAATACATTAAAATAAAACATTTAAAGTCATATGGAGAAGCTGTATTGAGGATGTACTGTATGTAGTGCACATTATGCACCACCAGAGGTCAGTCTCTAGTGAGTGGAGCAGGAAGCTGAGCTGAGAAGGACTGCTGGTGGGGGTGGATAACGTTACAGGGCTGTAAACAGCTGGCCGGTAATGATGGAGAGTGACAGCAGGGAAAACCGCACATTTTCAAATTTAACTTGGTAACTAGCACTGTACATGGATGCCATCATATACCATATACCCGGTGACATGCCAGGAAGGTATTGAGGTATTGAAGCTGTCCCACCACTATGGGTCGGGGCAGTGTTATCAGCGTTAACGGCCGTCTAGGTACATCGGCCGAGGTCGGAGCCAGGACTAATGTCACATCTGAGTTGACCACATTACAGTACCACAAGTTGGAAAACCAAGATATTGTTAACCACACCAGTTCTGACAAAGTTAGCCACAGTTAGCAATACCAGTTGATAATAACGTGTTACGCTGTGTTGTGCTCATAGTCACTGTGGCAACACATCCACAGATAGAAGTTGAACAGTACTGTGTCTACAACTCTTTTAATGAGGCAAAAATAAGACAGAAGTGCAAATTAACAGGATATTAAAGCTTTATGTTGAAGTGCGAAGCAGCCATGTTGGATTTTGAGGTTGGGGTCTGTGAGGTTCCTCCGATTTTCCGAGTCGGAAAACTGTCTTTAGGGGACGTTCAAATTGAAATTTCCAATTGGGAACTCAGAAACTCTGAGAAATGGAACGCACCAACCCACAGAGGGACTCATAAGCACTAGCATGCACTCGCCACTGGACCGTCTACCACAACAAAGGACAGAGAAGCTTGGACTGCAACACACACAAAGGAGTGTGACTTCATTCTCTGCTCAGGACACCATTACTCGCTATATCTTTACATAGCATTAGTAGTTTGCTGCTGTATTAATGTTCTAAATTTACAGCTACAACTCCTTTAAGAGACAAACATGAGTGGTATCAATCTTCTCATCTCCTGGTTCCCTTTGTTGGAGTTGCAGAAGATTAAATACATCTTGAACTGTGTGTTTCCACTTATGTATCTGCACACAGAGTTAACACACGTCTTCATCTCCACCACAGATTAAGTTGATGGAATTACCCCGAATTCCTTCGTTAGCGTCATCTTAACCTCAGATATCTTTCTTATTCCACCATTAGTGCTGTTTTTCTCTTCAAGTCTTCCTCCATCGAGTGAAGGGAAACGCAGAGGGGGAGGGATGGAAATGGAGCAACTGCATGGGCCGGACTACCTGGCCGTATACCGGCTAGGCACACACAGCTACTGTTAGTCATGTGGTGAGCAAAGAGGCCAGAGAACAAGGTTCACTTATGACGACCTGCAGAGAGGCAACATCTCCCCCTTCCCCCATCTCTGCATCGTACCCCTAACAATTTCTTTAAGATTTCTCAGGATTATTTAAGCGTATAGTTAATCTAATTTATCCCCTGACTCTCTCTTGAGTC